CGGATACAAGAATAAATCCAGGGTGCTCAGTCCAAGGCTTTTCAGAAATTAACCAAAAAGGCTTCTGATTCATTTTCCTTATTCAACCTGCCACATTTTTGTGTCGGTATAACAGGGCTGGGCCATATCATACCATTCATGGTAATACCGGTATAATGTTGGGCAACGATAAATAAAATGAAATCTATACATGGTTATGCTGAGGATATGTCGGCCAGTTTCCACTGGAAATGCCTTTTGGTTAAACTGTCAGCAAGGAATTTGCATTTGCACGGTAAAATTTTTATATAACTTTAATGCACATAAAAAAAAACAGCTGCCACCTGCCCTCAGAGGTTGATAACAGTCTTTCTAAATGGTAGAAGGAAAAAATCTGAATCTCAAACTTTAGGTTTTTAACCAACCTCATAGCAAAATGCCACCAAAGTTGAAGTATATGTAATAATTTTACTAACTTGTCGAATATATATGAAATATATTTAAATATTTTTAACTTTTAGTGGATTTTCCTGTATTCACATTATTGTTCTCACCACAAAGAAAATCACTTTGCTTTAGGTGTAAACACAAAATCTGGGTTGGGCAATGTGTTTTCACAGAAGATCCAGCCATCACTGTCTGTGTATTGACTGACCTTTTTTGTTATTTGTGGTGTATCAGTGTTATGGTTTTTAACCATCATTTTCTAGTTCCTCATTTCTGTAGCTCCACTTTGTAATTGCCCTTCACCACAGTGTCTTTTATCAGATGCCTCACTGTGGGTTTTGGGGGGGGTGTGGCTCTACCTGTCAGCCACTTTACCTTATAGTGGCATCTTGCATGTTATGTTTCCTTTTTAATTGCTCAATTTTATTGTAGTGATTATGAGAATTTTTCTCAGTAGGTTAGTGTGTTTTGATCTGGAGTCCCTCTGGCTGTTTTTTCCCCTCCTTGTACTCTTTTATTTGTTTCTTTTTGTCCCTTCCTCAGAAATCCGGTGTTGTAGATTGTGTCCTCGGTAGAATTAGAAGTTTAACAGATCAGTTTGGTGTGTCAGCTCACAAAATAATGAAGCACAATTTATTGCATTAAGATTTGATAGACTCCTCAGGCCTCTGTCTCATTGAGCCTCCTCCTGTGTTTCCACAGTGAACTCAGTCTGCTGGGGTCCATATGAGTTTGGTCTAATCCTGGCCTGTGGCAGTTCAGACGGAGCAATTTCCCTTCTCACGTTCACTGGAGATCAGCAGTGGGATGTCAAGAAGATCAGCAATGCTCACACTGTGAGACTTACAAACTGCTCTGAATGTTTGAAATGTCACTTTAGCAGCATCCTGCATTGGATGTAACACACTGTTGTGATTCTGCTGCAGATTGGCTGCAACGCTGTAAGCTGGGCTCCCGCTATAGTTCCAGGCAGCTTGATTGATCAGCCATCGGGACAGAAGCCAAACTACGTCAAGCGCTTCGTCTCCGGAGGCTGCGACAACCTGGTCAAACTCTGGAAGTAAGTGCTCATGTTTTCTGAAAATCTCTGAAGGAAATTACAGTTCATACCATAGGTGCATCTACTAAAACTTTTGGACACGTTCTAATCTCAGTAAAAAGGTCAAAGGTCAACTTTTCTGAAACCCACAAAGGATTTTCAAATTTATACTACAGGTGCATACCAGGAGGTTGATGGGTAGCACTGGCAGTGTTCCTGCAACACACTCAAAGTTTCAGAAGCATTTAAGAAATTATTATTATTATTATTATAACATAGTTGTGTAAGACATGAACACTTGACCAATCAGAAGCATTGAACACTACAAAAGAAACCTGAGGAGTACAAACATATTTCAGTGGAACATAAATCAGATGTTCGCTCTTCAGAAAGTTTCGGTTCTCTGGGGAAAGTTCACTGATCTTGATATTTAATGTCACCACAGCACAAACACGGTGATCCTTGTGTGACAAGTGTGGTAGTGGTGAGTGGAACCTCGCAGCAGAAAGGCTTCTGGTTTAAAAACGTGGCTAGAGCCTTCCTGTGCCTAGTTTGCATGTTCTTTCAGTACCCTTGTGGGTACTCCTCCTTCCTCCCACATACCACAAGACACACTGGGTTAGTTGGTTATCCTAATTGGCTGAATCCAAGGAAGATACATTTCTTGCTTGAAGTATAGACAATAAAGCTCTGCATGAGTGTGTGGTTCAGGGTGGCTTGTGGTCTGAAGCATTTTCTTGTTTTGTTTTTGGTTTTTTTCTTAAACCTAATTGTCACTGATTGATATTTCCTGCCTGCAGAGAGGAGGATGGGCAGTGGAAGGAGGATCAGAAGCTGGAGGCTCACAGTGATTGGGTGAGAGATGTTGGCTGGGCTCCATCTATTGGTCTTCCCACCAGCACCATTGCCAGCTGTTCTCAGGTGAGATTTGATGTGATTACACATGCAGAACATGCAATTTATTCTGCTTTCCAGCACCTAAAACATAAAGTGTTCATTCAGACATTATAAATAAAGTTTTGATAACTTAGGTACAAGTTTTTCACCACTAGATGGAGCCAGAGTGTGCCTCCGGTTCAGTCAAGTGTGAGATTAAAGATCCACCAGTTCATAAGCGGGTTACATTAATCTGTAGTGCTTCATAAAATGTGGTATCATATAAAAGCAAGTGTTATTGGCAGCTTGCAAAAAAGTATTTGAATAAAATCAAACCATTCCTGTTTTTCTTCCACTGGGGTTATGTGGGAAATTGTTTTCCATTCTTCCAGGATGGACGAGTATTTATCTGGACGTGTGACGACCCTGCAGGCAACACCTGGACGGCCAAACTGCTCCACAAGTTCAACGATGTGGTGTGGCACGTCAGCTGGTCGATCACTGGAAATATACTGGCCGTTTCAGGAGGAGACAACAAGGTAGAAAATACACATTTACACCAAATCCACATAAAATTATAGATATCATTTGATTTCCTTCTGTCTGACTTGGTTATATGCAAACTAAACATGCCACAGTCTGGAAGAATATATTTTATTGATATGGTTTTATCAACCTGCAGTGAGCTCTGCCCTTATTTTTTTTAACCTTATTGATTCAGGATATTATGGCTGTTTCTCAAAGCTAATATTTAACTCTAAAGAATAAGTTGAATTAGATTTGAGCGCTGACTCTGATTTTATTTATAGTTTATTTATTAAACTATTTATGAACTTTTCAGGTAACGCTGTGGAAGGAGTCGATGGATGGTCAGTGGGCGTGTATCAGTGATGTCAGCAAAGGCCAGGGCGCAGTCTCCACCATCACAGACACACAGCAGAATGAGCAGTGACCCTCGAATTAAAACACACACACCCATTCCGTGACCCCTGACCCTTCGATGATGACCCTCAGCCTTCAGAGATGAAAGAATAAACATGCTGGACATTTGGACTGAAAACAAGACGCCCACAGTGATGAAGCCTGGTCTATAATCTGAGTTTTAGGCTTCAGCATGAGTTGGGTGCCTGCTGAAAATCAACAAGGAGAATTTATTAGAGGGAAAGAAACCATTACAACTCAAAGAATCATCGCTCTCTGTATTTTTACTTTAACGTTTAGAAATCCGGACACAACTTTGTTTGTTTAGTCTTTAGCTTCATCAAAGTTTAGTTCTTCCTGCTCTGCTCCAGAAATATTCCACCTCCACTGCTGGAGATCAAAATTACCATCACCCTTAATGCTCCCAGCATCCTCAGGGGCAGTCGTCCTGACTTTCAACACTTTATTCTAATTACTAGTTCACTCAAATTGGCTTTGGGTGAACCAAGAAAACTATAAAAACAAAGCAGGTGAGCCCACCTTCACACCTAAAACAAACTCTCATGTTCTCATAGTGAAACAAAACATGACTTGACTGCCTGGTTTGGATTTACATTTAATGATAAGTGGATAAATGTTTTATTTGGTAAAATGTTTGCAGACTCTTTTCAGCTGTTAAATGAATAATCTGCCTTAACAACCATGAATGGAGCGATCGTTTTTCTCCAGGTGTATAATCAGAATCCATTGATTTTTTTTTTTCATGTTTGATGTAATTAAATAACTGTTTAATATTAAAACAATTTTAATGTCTTTTTTTCATTTATATAATAACCATGGCTGGGCAAAAGAGTCCTTTTCTACTAACATACTCTTACTACAGGTCTCATTCATTAACACACATTCATAAATAGCTTTTTTGTTAAACATTCACACCCTTTGATGTATCTGGGTCAACTTGTAGTTTAGTATCTTGATCAAGAACACTCGGTAATGCTGAGTCAGGGATCGAACTCCTGGCCTTCTTGTTAATGCAATGACCCTAAGCCACAGCTGAGGGGTCACCAATGGAGGTAGATCAGCATGTTCGATTTGGCTCAGATTTTAGTCCGGATATTTTTCCCAGATGCCTTAAAAATGCACGGCGTCAACGTTAGCGCCGTCCAGCCCCACGCACGGGGCGATCCGCGTTAATGCGTGCGTGTGTGTGCGTGCGTGTGTATCCAGTAAAAAGAAACAGTTTGTTTCCACCTACAGAATGGTAAATGGACTTGTTCTTATATGGCGCTTTTCTACTCTTATATGAGCACTCAAAGCGCTTCATACAACTAATTCATTCACCGTTTCCAAGTTGTTAAATGCTTGCTATCTATCATTCAAACTCCGATGGATGCATCGGAGACTAACATGAGGTTAGTATCTTGCCCAAGGATATTTGGCAAGCACACCAGAGGAGTCTGGGATCGAACCAGGAACCTTCCAGTTAGTAGCTGACCTGCGCTACCACCTGAGCTACAGCCAAGAACACTTATTCTCTTCCAGCTCTGTTTGTTTTTACCGATCCTGGGGGAAATGTGTAGATATTTATCTGCTAAATGCTCCACCGTGCGCACCGCTGTTTAGCAGAAGTTTCCTGTTGGGATGCAGAAACTCTCCCGTCAGTCACAGTTTACCTGCCGACCTGTTCTCTGCTTTTTCCGTGTGGCAGACAGTCCATGTCTTTTTTTTTTTTTAACCTGGGCGTTTCCTTTAACTGCCTGATTGGTAGCCAATCGCATTCTCGGCTAACAAAAACATTCTCCTCCTTGCGCATAGCTGTTACAGGTATGTCTCGTTTGATACGCTGTTCCTTTTGTATAAGCCGCCTGTTGTAGAGACTGCCTCCTCTGTGAAGACGCCGGACCGGTATGTAACTTCTGAACTCATCATTTTTGGTTTGAACATCGTTTTATAACTGGCCAACTGGTGGTCAAACAGCTGTATAGAAATAAACGCGCTCAATATTTGATATCTTTAAAATGCATTTCTTTGCTCTTGCTTGCTTTGGTAAATATTTACAGATGATTTAGGGATGGTCAGCCCTACAAATAATTCATACACTTTATATCTGCTGGACTGTTGGAGTAGACGTTAGTCTGTTGTTACTCTTTGACACGGTGACAGTCCAACCAGTTTATCCTGTGGCACACCTGCGCCTGAGACCTCTACCAGGAACCAGGATTTCGTCGGATCCGGGTAACTTCGAAATTTTCGGCTAAAGTGTTTCATTTCTTGCCGCGGTCCATCCCACAGTATCTTATGCACATTAAAGATCAACAGGCATGAAGTCACCGCCCACTGTTCTGTCAGTTCTCCGAAAAAACCCCATCACAATTCCTGGAAAAACCCTCCAGCTCTTTGTGCAGACAGAAGGAGCGTCTGAAGTTTTTCCACTAGCGTGAAAATACTTTGCGTTTTCCAGGGGGTTAATATGAAATTCTTAGAGGCAACGTTATCATCTGAGTAACAATTTTATATTTTTAAATAAGCAGCACAGCACCCATTTGTACTTTCTGGCCTACATACTAGAGAGTATTCAGGGAATTTAAAATAGAAAGTAGCTCGTCCACAGAAGGACTGGTAGCTCCCCTTACGATAAGGGTTCAGATCACGCGAACAGGTGTGAAATGTGTGTGTTTAGTTAGTTAGTTTGTTTGCTTGTTTTAATCAATTTTAAATCATGCTTTTTATTTGTTTTTGTTTCTAATGTCTCTGTAAAGCACTTTGAATCACCTTGTTGTTGAATTGTGCTATACAAATACATTTGCCTTGCCTTGCCTTACATACAGGGCTGAACTGGTAATCTGTCATTTGCCTGATATGCTGATACACTTGTTTCCCCACGATTCAACACATACTTCCACCAACAGAGCAAGAAAAAGACGGAAAGTGTAATTAGAGAGAATAAAGCATTAAGTGACTATTAGTTAATTAGGTTTAACTATTTTTTCTTTTGTTTTTCAGGGAATAAAACATTTAATTGACATCAGTCCTGTTTCTTTCTGTCTAATCGAGCCAGGTTTTCGAAGTAGAATTTGAATATTATATGACAGTTTTTTTTAAATTCTATTTCAATTTTTTGCTTGTACTATTCAGCTTTACCACTGCTTTGTGGAACTGTACAAATATTTACACTGTGTGCTGCTTTGAATGAGCACAGTGGGCCGCCTGGACCAAAAATGCTGATGATTTTTGTTTTTTTGTCCCAGTGCAGATCTGCTAGTAATGATCCTAAATATTACTGGGGGTGTCTGCTACTGACTCTGTGTGTGTGTGTGTGTGTGTGTGTTTTATGCAGGTTTGAATTGCACTGCTATACAGCCAGTAATTTAAAAATTCTTCTTATGTAATTCTTAAGATTCTTGTTATGATAAATGCCTCAGGAGGGTTTTTTTTTTTTTTTAAATCATCTTCATATGGATACTGAGAGGAAACACCCATAATGGTGTGGCACGTGGAAACCAAGTAAACTGGTTTCCAACACAAATGATTGCTTACTTACTCAAGAGAGAATGCTTGCCCTCAGGATTAATGATGGAGGTGAACATTGTCTTCCACTGGAAGATATTATAATGCAAGAAGAAACTAAAAGGAAAAAAGCAAGGCTCTCGATGAAGTATCAGACACCGGCTAAGGAGATGAGGAAGAGGGCATCCGCTTCCAATAATCACTCTATCAAATGTGAGCTCTCAAGAGTTAAATTAATGAGCCAATACTACACATCAAAAGCGAACAGGATTATAGTTGCAACAACGTGATCTGCTTCACTGAAATGTGGCTAAACTGTAATCAGACTTTGGAACTGTGTGCATTTAATCTGAGCTGTCAGAGATGAAATATAAACAGGAAAGTCAGCAACGAGCAGACCTGTACAAAAAATCTTCAGACAGTGGATTTAGACAGCTTGCAGTCATGGTGGTGTATGCCTCAGGTCCCTACAGTAAGTTCATATATTGGACACATACAATTCTGTGCAGGCACAATCAACTGATCACCCAGGATTTTTTTTTTTGAGACTTCAACATACTGTTTATACTTTCTGATCTTACAACAATATGTTGACTGTCCAACTCGTTCTACAAGGATTCTTGGCTGATATTATGGCAACATTTAAAACGGTTATAATGTGGTATGCAACCCACATTTGTTAGTCTGGAGCCTCTCGAGCGTGTGTTCTTTCATCATTGTTATTTTGTTTATGTAAAGGACATGTAGCTACATGATACAGCATACTAAATAATAAGATACAATAGTTCTATTGATGTTTTTCATATGCATGTTTTTGTAAGAATGTGGGATAATAACTACCAGTATTTTATTATGACTTAATTTGTGATTTGGTGAAGTTAAGACAATGATCCACTATTTTAGAATATAAAGTAATTCAATTCTAATCAATTCCAATTCCATTCTTAGGCTGCTGGCCCAGATAAGCATAAGAAAATGGATGGAGGAAAGTAAACACCTGATGCATAGTTGTGTAGTTTTTGTAAGCGAGTAGTAGGCTACATAAGAACAGCGGCAGTTCCAGAGGTCATGTCTGAACACGAAAAAGGAATTGTCAAGCTAAAACCTGTCAAATGAATCCAGGACCCTGTACACAGTTCAACAAAGCCAGGGTATTTTTTCCTTTATCTGCATCACCCTAACATGCAGGTAACATCTGACCAATCACACTGACTGATGTACCAGCAGTTACTGGATGAGTAAGGATGGAAGAGTAAACTATAATTATAGAAATAATCCAAAGATGTTACACGCATAATACAGAATGAATGCAACACAGCTGCTCCAGTTAAATTAATGAGGTTTCAACAGTTACCCACAACACTGAATTTAAACGCTTTGATCTATAAGACCGTGAAAGAGCTACTATATCATACTATATTTAAAAAACTGTCGCTTAGAGTTCACAGAAAACAAACTAAAGTGGCCGCTAACAATTTCCTACTAATCCTCACGGAAAACTACTGGAGAACTTTAAATGCTGTCTGCACAAACAGCTCTGAGGGATCTTCCAGGAATAGTGATGTTTTGTTTTGTTTTTTCAAAGACCTGACAGGAGAGTGGGCGGTGATTTCACGCCTGTTGATCTCTAGTGTGCACACCTGCCTAACATCAGTGCTGTGCTGATTGGTCCAACAAACTGGATTCAACAGTGCGCGGGACTCCAGCAGCTGTGCTATAAAACAGGTGGATCTGGTTGGGATTAAGTTACCTAAAACACTTCTATAATGCATGTAAGAAGCCTTTTCAAAAAAAAGAACTGAGAAGGACGCAGGTGAGGTGAGAGAAGGCGGAGAAGGATCTGCCTCCTGTTGCTGCTGCAGAGAGATGCACAGAGACAGAGATGGCCACTGGCTTGGATACGAACTCTGGTCGGAGAATCGGAGCGTCTAAAGTGCGGTCAGTGATGTCAGGCAGGACGGTCGCTCTCCTTTTCTTCTCTCCTGTCATTGGGCACTCTGAAGACCGTGCAATATTAAATAAACATTGCCTTATAAAATAAACATACAAATAATCTCACACAGTCAATAGGCAAAGGCAAAAAAGTAATAAATAAAATTATATACTAAATCTAAACTAAGGCATAAAAATTGAGCTTCACTCTGCCTCTGAGGTTTACTGGTCCATGTACATGTCTATTGGTTTGTGAAAAAAGTGTTTCTTTGAAATATTAATATAATTGAATTAACACAGTATTTTATTTTATTTCTTTTAATCTGAAAAATGTTAAGATTCACCAGTTTGCTGCAATCGCCTCCATGTGAAATGGGATGGCAGCATTTGATTAACTTCAGCAGGCTTAAACATGGTATCAGACTAAGTTGACAGTTTATCTGTATATTTTAATACAACGTCTGATTACTGCTGATTTTGTTTTCTGTGTAAAACAAACAGTGGTGGATGGAGCAGCTACAAATTTTGCTTTTCTTCACGTTGGAGTCTGTTGATTAGGGGCTCTGATGAAGGGCTCCCTGTAACTTGTTCCCCAGTAATGGTTTAAAGGATGATCGCAAGAACAGCAGTGCTATATTCTGTCTCGTTTTGCATAGTGCATTAAATGTTAATGGACTCGTCACTGCCCCCAAATGCAGAAGAGCAGTCAGTACTGACAGGAAGTTGATTAAGAAAAAATGCAATTGCAACCAATTTAGATAAGTTCAAAAACATTTTGAAAATAGAGAGAGTAAGCCCCTCAGGAGAACATTGTAACAGAAATACAAGAAACTTCTAACACAGGTTAGGCAAAGAACAATACCAAAGAACTAGAAATCACCAAAATCTAACTGAAACAAAAAATTCACATAATTAAAAACATAAGCACTCGGTCACGAGACTCAGGACAAAGACTATAAACCCCTCAGCTGTATGCAAACACAGGAAACACAGCTGCTGATAAAAGACAGACGGGCGTGGTGTGGTTTCCATATGCTGTATGTATGTGTGTGCGTGTGTGTTTGTGTGTGTGTGTGGTTGAGAACTTCCTGCTGCTTAGACAGTTTGTCTTTGCAGAAGTCAGCGTCAGTGTGTTTGCTGGCAGATTAGCCGCTTCTTTCATTTTTCATTCTACTGTTTTAGCCACACTCGTGAGTATTATTTTAAAATTTTTCGTTTTACTACTTTTATAAAGTGAATACGTATCTGCATTATTTAGAATTACTCGCTTTTAAAATCAGTAACAGCGTTTTTGCTTTCATTATAAGGGGAATCAAAATGAAACCTGAGTACTGCTGTTTGTGCCGCTGTAATGCTCGAACACCCACAGTGTCTGTGACTGAACAAAGAGCTGAAGATGTTACATCCTGCCACTTAATTAATGTGCATTCAGGGAATCCCTCAGTTAAAAAGTTTTTATTCAAGTGAAATAAAAGGCACTAAATAACTTTTAAGTATTTGATCTTACTCATAAGATATCCATTATTTGAAAGTAGTATGAGCTGCACTTCTGAAAGTGTTTAGAGTAGTTCAGAATACTGCATATGCATTATTGATACGAAACTATTTCTGTCATTCAAAACCATTAAAATGTTCCACGCTGCATAAGCAATATTTTTACTTTTGCTACATTGAGCTAACTCGAGCCGGGCCTTTCAGTGTGAGGTTTGAATGTTCTCCATTTGCCTTTGAGTGTGACTTGTAGTTAAAAGCACTTTGAGAGATCAGTAACACTAGTAAGGTGAAAAAAGCAATACATCAAAGTAACAACATTATAGTTGCACCCATGAGCTAATAAATAATGTACAGAAAGACCAACTAGAATCCATTTTTTCTGAGCAGGACCCAACCACACACGACCTCCTCACACTGCTTTGAAGGCCCAGACTAGTTTGGAATAAGTGATTTTATGTTTTAGTTAATGTTGTAGTTTGAAAACGGTAGTTCAGATGAAGTTTTTTAGATATAGCAGTGAGAATACAGTTTAACAGTCATCACATATTATATAATAATAATAGGCTTTCATGTTTTAGCTACATTGGACACGATACTGTGTGATAGTAGAATTTCTTTTTCAAAAACAAGTGTAAAACCTAAAAATATATTATCCCTGCTCTCTGAATTTAATTACTTTTAAAAATGTTACTGTAATGAGAAACCGCATTAGAGGAACTGGAGTGCCAGGAACTTCTCCATTTTCAATTCCAAATGTTGCTCCTGTGCTGTTAAGTAGAGGCCTTCACCTGGGAAGTTGTAGCTTGAAAGTCATCAGTGACTTATTTTAGTATATACATGTCGCAATACAACCAACCACAGTTTTTTCAGTGTTTAAGTTTTAGTTTCTCTTTCTTCCCTTTGCTTTGGTTTCTTCTTTTTTCTGCCACGCTTTTCCATTTTCTTCCTCTGTTTTGATTCAGCAGACGTTTGAACAACACGTCACACACTGTGTGTTGATCGTCTAAAACAGAGTTGATCTCTTGCAGAATCAAGTCAGAATGAAGATAGCAGCCTTTAATGGCAAGAACCTGGGACATAAGAAAGTCCATGACAAGTCTGTCGTCAAACACCTCACCAAGGTGATAATAATTTTACCTTTACAACAGAAAGCTTTAAATACAACATCAATGACGAAATGTGTAACACTTAAATGATGTGTTTCCTCCAGATCATATCTCGGTACAGTGTGATTGTCCTGCTGGAGGTGGTGGATAAGAGCGGCAAAGCCATGGAAACGTTACTTCAAGAACTCAACAAAACTGAGTGAGTTCCCTGCAGTGATAGTGTGTGTATTTAATTATTTTATTTACAACATTTTTATGTAGAAAACTGCATGTTTAAGTTGCTTCTGTTTTCCTCAGCACTAACAGAAAACACCCCTACAAAAAAACTGCCAGCAAACAACTGGGACGAGACACCTACAAGGAGCAGTATGTCTGTTTCTACAGGTGTGTGAGTCTAAGTTCACTCGAATACAACATCTCAGTGGTTATTAATCAGACTTTAATTTGTGAGATTCATGGCCAGACACACTGATGTCTGACTATTTGTGTTTATCTCTCAGACCAGATGAAGTGACGCTGAAGGACTCACACCAGTATGAAGATAATCAGGCTGGAGATGAAGATGCCTTTGCCAGAGAGCCCTTCATCCTGCGGTTTGATTGTCCAACTACAGGTTTGTGCTTTTTACTGTGTTTGAGTAACGCTTTAAGTTACAAAACAAAACAAGTGGAAGTGCCAAACACCCTGAGATCTGTGTATTGGCTCAGCAAAGGGGAAAGAATCACAGCTCACAATCATTTCTAATTTTCTTAGTGTATTTGCTGTGATCAGCTGACCTGCTGCTCTTTGTGGATTTACAGAACTGAATTCAATAAGATGTACACAGTTTGACAAGCTATAATGGCTGATGTCTATCCCCTGCATTGACACTACACTGTTTATTATCTTTACACTAGACAGAATACAGCTGGTATAAAGTCAGAATTTAGTGAATGGATCTAAACATCATCAGTTTAAGTTTCACCTAAATCTGACCACGAGCACTACAGTCACTGTGCACCAGTCCAACACAGAGCTTTGCTGTGAATCCACATTAACTCAACCTAACCTTATTATCCTGGACAAAGCTGCTGTTACGACCCGGCCTCGGGGCGACGTTCCATCTAAGCTGCACGCGTGCGCAATTGTTGTGCACAAAAAAATCTAACCGGAACTAAAATGTAAATAAATAAGTTAAAATTCATGTTGTTTCACAGTGTGAGTCAGTGAGTGACCGGTGACTGCTCCATGATGCGATTCACATTCGTATATATGCAGCTAAGCAACGTCGACAGGCTATGACAGCGTCCTTGTGTGCCGACGCCGGTGTTTTAGCTGGCAAAGCGGCGTGGCTGATGTGGAGTGAATGACAACGTGTACAACCATTGGAGATGTGAGCAGGACAGACGGAACAACTGACGGGAAAAGTGTGGACTTTATATCAGTTTTTAAATTGTGTTGATAGGTCACGTAAAACCAGAGTTCTGATAAATTTTTTTGCAATGTTTGGTTTTCTTCCTGAATACTATCGTTGTTTATATTTACTGCAGGAAGAAACAGTAAAATCAGCGTTTTATACGTTTTATTGGGGGGGGGGTTAAAAGGGAGAGTGCAGTTTTACTTAGTCCAAGTACAAAACATAAAGCTGATGTAACGCACATAGGTTTATAGCTATTGCTACTTTTCACCAATCGTCCCTTAGTTTTAGGAGTGACAGCGGTGTTTTGAGATGTGAGAGATTCGCGACGTTTTGTGTTTGGAGTCTAAAGTTAGTGTGTTGTCTTGTGTAGTTAGTGTGTAGTGTAGTCAGTAGTTTTGTTGTGTGTGTCAGAACAATGAGGCGACTGCTGAATGTCACAGGTGTTACAGCAGTGATACATCTCCTCTTGTCAGGCCTGCAGGTATCAGGCTGTTGTTCTCCTTCATCTCATAGTGGACAGAAATAATTTTTTGGAGCGGCACAAATAATCTGTGTGGCATCAGATTTGATGCAGAACAGCTGATTGTTCTGTAAATAGTTTGAAATGTTTATTTAAAACTGCCTTGGCTGCATTATTAGGTAAACAGCTGAAAAAAACTTTGTTGTTTGCAAAACTCAGTAACTTTTAAGTAACTATATAAATAATTGCCCAGCATTGGTCATTATTTACTGTATTTTGCAGACAGAGAGTTACAGGACTCTCTCCTAGACCACAGACTCATAATACAAGTCAGAGCTTTATAAAAAAAACTATTTTACTTTTACTTTATTTTTACTTCCAATGGTGTTAACATACTACACAGGTCGTGAACAAGATTCTTTCACATTTTCATTGTAAGTGGGCTAAAGCAGTTAATTAAAAGTAATCTAACATAAATGCAAACGCTGTAATTTGATTATTTTAATAAACATGTCATACAGAAATGAAAGAGAACATTTTGTTCATTTGTTTGTTTCTACACGAGCTTTGTGTGATTTGTAAGTATCTGAGGCTGAGACCACAGAACTGTAAAACATGATTGTTGTGTAATCATGTTTTACACAACAATCATTGTGTATTATGTAATTTAATTATCCATAAAATCGTCACATTCTCTGTAAGAACTATTGAACAGCGTATATTTTAAAGGCTTTAAAACCAAGTAAGTAGAACTTGCTCATAGGGGGTCATATGATTGTTGGGTTTTTCTCTGTATCTACAATATAAAGCGCCTTGAGGCGACTTTTGTTGTGATTTGGCGCCATATGAATAAAATTGAATTGAATTGAAACATCGCTAATGTCACAAAACTTTGCCGACATGTGGCCAACAGTAATGTTTTAATGTTCTTCATTATTAAACATTTGCACATAAATAAGTTACATAATATTCAGTACTTACATTTGAAAGTTTACTCCTTGGCTGCCCCGCTTCCGCCGTTTTTTTTGGCAAAATTATCCACACCCACCGCCGCACTAGGAAGTCTGGGATATGTTGGGCCATGAAGGATACGCCGACCCATCCTTAAAATTCAGGGAAATGAAGGACACATTTGAGGCTGCATTTTGAGCAGCCTTTGAATTGGGACAGCCTTCGTCACGTTGATGTGACGTAATCGGCCTTAAAATGCGGCCTTTAAGGCTGCAGACCCTGAATTGGGATACAGCCAAAAACACACACACCAATGGGAGGAGCCACACATCAAAACAGGTGGCATGCGATCACAAACCACAACATTTCTTGGAATCAAAGCACTACCTAATATTTTCATGTAACATTTGAATAACACAATATTAGTATAGCTTAGTTTGTTTTGCTGGATGTTTCCCAGTATCAAAATACACTAATCCAATATTTGATTAAAATGATATTACATGGGGCGACCGTGGCTCAGGGGGTTGGGAAGCGTATCTGTAACCGGAAGGTCGCCGGTTCCATCCCCAGGCTCTCTGTCCTGGTCGTTGTGTCCTTGGGCAAGACACTTTACCCTACTTGCCTACTGGTGTTGGCCAGAGGGGCCGATGGCGCGATATGGCAGCCTCGCTTCTGTCAGTCTGCCCCAGGGCAGCTGTGGCTACAACCGTAGCTGCCTCCACCAGTGTGTGAATGTGAGAGTGAATGAATAGTGGCGTTGTAAAGTGCTTTGGGTGCCTTGAAAAGCGCTATATAAATCCAATCCATTATTATTACACGCAAGCTTTAAATTTGCAGTTTATCAAGCACCACTGAACATCATTACCTTTAAATCTAAGCTCTCTTCTTCCTCTCCTGTCTTGTCTTTCTTACCTTTCTCCATCTCTGAGTGAAGTTAGCTCTCTTTCTTTTCTCTCCCTTTGAAACAGAGCTGCTGGATCTTTAACTAGCGACACAGTGCACACAAACAGTTTGTGTACGTGCTGATGTGTTGAGCAGATAGAAGCGCTGCATTTAAAATTACCTGCCACTAGGGCTGCCACAAACGATTATTTTGATAGTCGACTAGTCACCGATTATTTTTGCGATTAGTCGACTAATCAGATCATCATCCATTGGACGTAAAACGTACAGCTTATTGCACCAGCAGCATCTGCTCTTATATAACTATCATTAGCTTACAGCTTGAAGTGTTTCAGGTATGTGCTAACTAAAAATAAAGACAAGATGATAGTTTATTAAAGTTTAATGAAATCTGCAGATTGTTTCGGTGAAGTTTAATAAACTCCTTGCTATCTAAAATATAACAGGACAGTAAATTCTCGAGCATCTCACACTTCTGATAATCAGTTGTCTGCTTGATGTTTGTTCAGCTGTGTAAAAACTATAACTTTATTTAGTGCCCAATAAACACAGGTTATACCCTGTATTAGCCATTTCTGTCCTTTAGATTCTTACTTCATATTTTTCACACTAACAACCTTGGCAGTGTAGTCAAACAGAGGGAGCCTGTTACCTGAGCCTGACAGTGATGCCTGATAGTGTAGCACTCCACCTTCTCATCTAAATATAAAAAACTGTATTTCAGTTATGGACGATCTGGTCCTGATCCCAGTCCACACAAAGCCAGAGGACTCTCTGAAGGAGCTGGACGAGCTGCATGATGTAGTTGAAGACATCAGGAAGAAATGGAAAACTGATGTAAGTTTTATGTTTTGATTAAAAAATTCAGACCAATTCAGTTGTATTTGTATAGAGCCAATTCAACACAACAGTTGTTTCAAGGGGCGTTATAGTAAATAAAAAAAAAATGCATGATGACCCACTCCACCCTGCCTTTCCCCCAGCCTGCTTGTGTCACAGTTTGTTTCTGCAATAAAGAGAGGGTTTGGCTTATTTCAAATAAGCAACACTGCACCTGGTCAGGTGTTGCTAGTGATTATACTGACTACATACCTTATAGCAAGGTTAAGTTCTTGACTATGCAGCCTGGTGTGTGACACGTATGACCATGAAATTACCTGGGATTTGTTGCCTTTTAGAATATTTGTAGAATATAGCTGAATATTTTCTCTTACAGCAGAAATCTTCAAGCTGAAATACTACAATATCTTTCTAAAACTAAACAATTACTTTTAGTTTCTAAACCTAACCAAGCAGCGAATAAACAACAAACTGTGAACTAAGCTCCAAAACAGGACACAGATCAAACTCCCTTCATTCAGAATCTTAATAAATAACTTTATCTGACCTTTGTTTTAAAGCAGATCCTGAATATCTCACCTTGTTAATCCATATAGTGACTCAGATTATAATATATTTTTAACTACTTGATTTTGTCATCCTTTAGACAGACCGATAAGGAAGGAAGTCTTCAAGCTGCTTTGCTCATTAACAAATGAAAACTTTAAAAACACAAGTGCATAAATCTTTGTATCCTACAGTGAAGTGATGCTCAATAAATGACAGCTCTTCACGGGATCGCATAATAACGAATATATCCTACCATATAAATCTCTGTGCTGTTATTTAAAGAATACATTAATACCATTAGACATTAGAGTGTCACATACTGGCTGTAACAAACATCTGTCATTGTACTAAGTGAGTTCTGCTCTCTTTTGGCATTTTTTGGCAGAATATAATGCTTTTGGGGGACTTTAATGCTGATGGACGATATCTCTCCAAGAAGAAGAAGGAAAAGATTCGCATCTGCTCTTCTTCCTACAACTGGCTCATTGATGACAATGTCGACACCACAGCTAGCAACAAAAATGATAACACCTACGACAGGTGACACACATATAGCACTTTCTATGCCCGAGTTTAAAAAACTTTTTATATAATCACTATATAATGGCACGACCTTTTGGGATATTTCTAATTTCTATTTCTTTGCTTCTGGTGTTTTGCAAAATTGTGCATAATGACCAAAAGGAAATAAGAGTTAGTTGTTATTTGTTTGTTAGAGTTTGTCTGTTTTGTCTGTATTGGGAACGTGCACATGAGGCTGGATGACTCACGAATTCTGATTAAATCTACCTGTGTGTACATTAAATTTGTGTGAAAAAAAGTGCAGGAATTCAGGAAATAAATCAGTATAGCTGTAGTGGAGGCATGTAGTCCCAGACTCTTAATGTTTTAAAGATTTTTTTCTCAGAGTGCCTCTCACATAAGAAATAATATTGGCATCAGTGACTTTCAATTTGAGACAGAAAATGGAGAAATAAAACTATTGGCGCTTCACGCTATAAAGTAGACAGACAGAAATGAAGTTCTTAACTGTTTAAAAGAAATGCGTCTCCTCTTTGTCAAACAGAATTGTTGTGTATGGACAGACCATGCTGAACGCCATCGTACCCAACTCGGCCAAGTCCTTCAACTTCCAGCAGGAGTTTGACCTGACCGATGAGGAGGTGAGTTTTTTCTAAGCTCAAAGATAGAAATGATTTGACAGGTTTTAGTATTTTAAAGGACACCATGAGTGTTGTCATTCAACTCTTTAAGGCCCTGGGCATCAGTGACCATTACCCTGTGGAGGTGGAGCTGAAGACCAAAGATGCGTCTGGGGAAGGACAATCTAAGAAAAAAGGTTATTATTTTTCATCTCTGACTCTTACTGTATTTATATTTGACAGCAGGAATGGAGATTGATAAGAATTTAGTGATTCTGATGCCATTATCGATATCATTGAGTTCTCATTGGCTCCGCTTTAAGGGTCACCACCGTCTCTAAATGAATATATTTGTGCAAATTAATTACACGCTGTGTGGTCAAAGGTTACATGCTGACCTCAATGCTATGATCAGCATTGAGGTCATAACTCAAAAGAGTAACATATTACACATATTACACAGAACACTCTTATTAAAAGTAATGCAGTACATTACTACCATTACTTCCAGGAGAAACTAAGTACTTATACTACACATTACATTTCTTTTTCTCTATAAAATTACCTTAAACAAAATGTCTCATAAATACCACATACAGTGGGATGCAAAAGTTTGGCAACCTTGTTAATAGTCATTATTTTCCTTTATAAATCGTTGGTTGTTACAATAAAAAATGTCAGTTAAATATATCATATAGGAGACACACAGTGATATTTGAGAAGTGGTAAGCTCAATGTAACAGGATAAACCCGAGGCTACAATCCCACGAACCAGCATAAATCCCTATCCTAATGAGGACACACATACAGTGCTGGTATTTGGTTTTTAGGTATGAACACAAGGCCTGCAACACAAAGCAAAGATGAAAACCAGACCAAAGACACTTTAAAACAATCGCCACGTGAGTCTACTGTAGAAACATGAACCAGGAGAAGTGGAAGCTACATCCTGACTACTCATCACTGCTTTTGTTACCTGTGGCAGATCAGGGACTGGCTATTGGGCTGGGATCGGCATTGAGTCAGCTTTAACATCACTCTATTGAACACTTTTTATGATTTTCAAACTACCCCAACCGCTCGCAGCAGATGGCCCCGCCCCTCCCTGAGCCTGGTTCTGTCTGAGGTTTCTTCCTGTTAAAAGGGAGTTTTTCCTTCCCACTGTCGCCAAACTGCTTGCTCATAAGGGGTCCTATGATTGTTGGGTTTTTCTCTGCATGTACCCTACAGGGTCTACCTTGCAATATAAAGCACCTTGAAGTGACTGCTGTTGTGGTTTGACCCTGTATAAATAAAACTGAATTAAGGAAATATATTTCTAAAGGTGCTATTGACATAAAATTCTCACCAGATGTCAGTAACAGCCCATCCAATGCACACATTCAATGAAATCAAAGTATACATGTCCATAATTTATGTCTAATAATGACACAGGAAAATGTTTTCAACATGCTCACTGAATTTTATTTCATACTTTGAACAAAACCCTTTGTTGGTGATGACGGCATCAAGATGCCTACAGCACGGAGAAACTTGTCACATGCATTGGGTGCAGGTGTGATTTTGTCCCATTCTTTCATACACCCAGTCTTCAAATCCTGAACTGGAACCTTCAGTGGTTTAGAAATTCTTCGGTAACCAGTGTTATCAGTATGTTTTGCAACAACAAGGCTGCAAAGGTGTAGAATTTGCTCATTGGCTTCATCCTTCATGAGATGTTTCCTGTGTGACACCTTAGTAATGAAACATGGTTCTATAAGCCGTCAGTTGAGACTAAACCAGCTGATTTTAATTTGCACTAAATGGCTTTTTTTTCTCATTCCTGTCCCGTTTGGCGCTGCAGTAATCAAAATTATTGTCTGAAGGCCAATTAAAATGCAAAACAAGTGGATCATTGTGGCTTTGCCATACTGGTCCACTTGATTGAGCTTTATTATTTAGTTATTTTTTTACTTTTCAGTTATTACAATTGGAACAGACAGGGCTAGGTGATAGAAAAGGGAAAGACGTAGACAAGTTCAAGAAAAGGGGAGGGAAAGAAAAACAGCAGGGAAGAAGGACAGTAAGAAAACTAAAAGCGTCTTTTTGCCTGTTCCTTTGTTCATGTGTTCAATACCTTTTCGTTTGTCATTTCTCTTTATTACACATAACTTTAATGGGTTGTTACTGACATCTGGTGAGAATTTCATGACAACAGCACGTTTAGAAATATATTAACTTAGAAAATTGTTGACATGTGCAGTACTTATTTTACCCAATGTATTTCCTCTTTCTAATATTAACAACAGGACAACAGGAGCAAAAAAGAAAGCAAGGACAAGCATCCAACATGCCAACCAAGAGAGGACGTCGGGCTGTTTAGTGTTAAACTTTAACAATCTTGCTATTAATTTTTAAAATTTGGGTTACTCCAGTTAATTTTTAAACTCAGTTTTTCTTCGGATTTAACAGAAAACCACATCAGGTGGTTCAACGTGATAAAAAAATAACTCTGTCTGCTTTACTGAATTTACTGTGGAAAAGACAAATGAGTGTAAAGATATTAGTACTACATGGAAATTAGGTTAGACTATGTAAGAAATGTTGTTTTATATGTTTTCCAGACACCTTCCATGGTAAACATGAACTTATTTTGGTTTCTCTTGGTCACTGTATAGATAGCATACCCCACAGGGTCTACCTTGGGCTATTTTGCTATTTAGAGTGGGAACGTATGTATAAATATTTTACTTCTGAGCTAAGGGCATTAGTAGGAAATAAAATGTATTAACATTTTTAATAATGGAAATGACCATAAATTGTTGAAGAGCATGCTGATAAGTGAATAAATGTTTTGTTTGGGAAAATATTTGCAGATTCATTTCAGCTGTTAAATTGAGAATTTGCCTAAATAACCAGGAATGGACAGATTGAAGCATATTTTGTTCCACCAGTTGAATAATAATGGACGGTTTTTTTCATATTTGATGCAATTAAATGACTGTTTATATTAAACCAGTCATGGTGAATTGGATTAAAGGACTCAGGTGCGAGACTCCTTGCAGAATGACAGTGGATTTATTTACAGTGAAAAGGTGAGTTAACAGTTCGAGTCTATAATCCAAAAAGGGCAGTGCAGTGATACGGCGACCTCTCCTCACGGTGACAGTGCAGTAATAATCCACAACAACTCCTGGTGCCGGTGTTGACCGGCTCCTCCTCCAATCCCTGAACCCTGGAGGCAGATGAGAAAAAACACACGCTCAATAACGAAAACGTCCTCTCCTTCACAAACCGGGTATGCTAATCATGACTATGCTACCCGGTTTAGTTCAACGTTCCAGCGTTGGTTGTGACTCAACCGCCCCGTTAAATAGGTCTGCGCTGGCAAGGTAATTCTGCACAGGTGCGATGATTCTAGCTCAGGACACTCCCCTCCGGTCAACTGCCGTTCCGTGCCACGGCTTCCGGAAGTACATGTTCCAGCAGAAAAACACATGCACAGGATGGAGAGGAGAACACGACACAGTACACACAAACACCACAACAAATTGGCAAGACGATCAGTGAGGACCGTCTAGCCATGACAAAACCAATTCTTGCTGTTTTTATTTATTTATTTTTTACAATAACCATGGGCAGGCTGGGGTACTCGAGAAAACAGATGTATGAGTGCCACTTATGACTAGTCCTTTATTTGTAAATCGACTGTACTTGAATAATTGAGTTTCTACTGAAGTTTAAGAATACCCACATATTTTGTGAGGGATTATTCTGACGGGTCACCACAGCAGGTAGATCAGCATGTTTGATTTGGTTCTATTTTAGTGTTTGCTTTTGTTTGTTTTTTGTTTTTTAAATTTAAGCGTTAACTGTATTGACAGAAATATGCTTCCATATGATTATATGTTTTGTGAAATTACAATACTCACACTACCTATCCATATCACAACATTTTATATGAGTACCACATATTGCTGTGGCCAAACAGAAGCCAGGAAGAAATCAAGTGTCATGAGTCACTTTGTTGCCATTGTTGCTGCACAGTCTTCCCTTGAAAATATGACAGGAAGGAAACAGTGTAACGTCACAGTGTTTGCCAAAATGATTCTTGACGACGATGTTGAGGAAGGTAGTGTGTGTGAAGCTTTGATTTTTATACATGAAAAAAATTTGGTCTCACACGCAAACATTGTTTTCCAGTCTCTTTACTCTCTTTGTAGCTTAGTGTTTGTATGTTGGTTGTATTTTGTTTTCATGTCTCAAGGAACCTTTTAACTTAACGATCGTGGCTCAAGAGTTGGGAGTTCGCCTTGTAATCGGAAGGTTGCCGGTTCGAGCCCTGGCTTAGACAGTCTCGGTTGTTGTGTCCTTGGGCGAGACACTTCACCTGTTGCCTACTGGTGGTGGTCAGAGGGCCCGGTGGCACCAGTGTCCGGCAGCCTCACCTCTGTCAGTGCGCCCCAGGGTGGCTGTGGCTACAATGTAGCTGCCATCACCTGTGTGTGGATGACTGGATATGTAAAGCGCTTTGGGGTCCTTCGGGACTAGTAAAACGCTATACAAATACAGGCCATTTAACTTCTGATTTTGCATTTTAAGTCAGTAGTTTAATTTTATTAACTCTATTTTAATGATTTGGCTTGGTCTTCAATAAGAAAGCTTTATGCTTTTAATATTCACGGTTTGTTGAGTAGTATTACTTAGTTTCAGAACCTTTCTGGCCATTAGCTCAAGGTAATTTTTTTGGATATCATTCACTCACAGAAAATATGTTCAATAAAAAGAACCTAATTCACAAGTTGCTTCATGTTATGAGTAGCACTTGGCCAGGGTGGGACAAAAGAACTCACTTTTAACAGGAGTGTGCTGCACAATATGTACACCCTACTGAACACCCACTTTAAATAAAACAGCAGTGAAAATACAACTTTCTTGTGTTCTTGTGTTCAAAGAGAATTATACCACGGAGTCAGGTACTTCTGATTAGAGACCTTAGTTTTCATTGGAGCTACAGTATCCAGAGTTGTACGTAGTGAGGAGGTAAAATTATTAACAAGATGGTAGACCTCTGTTGTAGTATTCAGGTAGCTGCTCTGCTCTGTGTTGGTACAGGGCATTGAAGATGATAACAGTGGGTGGATTATATTCTTAAACTTAGTTACAGCGCTTTCAGAAAGACATCTACTTTGATAAAGTCTACTCTCCACCGCTGTGTAATCAATTATTGTAAATGTAAATGTTATCAGGAAATGATCAGACAGGAGAGGGTTTTCAGGAAACACTGTTAAATGTTCAGTTTCTATGCCATATGTTAAAACAAGATCTAGAGTGTGATTAAAGTGGTGGGTGGGTTCTTTTACATTTTGAGAGAAACCAATTGAGTCTAATAACAGATTAAATGCCATGTTGAGGCTGTCATTTTTAGCATCATGATGTTAAAATCACCCACAATAATTATTTTATCTGAGCTCAGAACTAAATTAGATATAAAGTCTGAGAAATCAGACAAACTCTGTGTAAGGCCCAGGTGGACGATAGATGATAACAAGTAAGACTGGTTTCTGAGGCTAAGCATCAGGCTTTCAAATGAATTAAAAGTCTGTCTTGGTCTTTCATTAATTAATAGGCTGGTGTGAAAAATTGCTGCCACACTCCCCCCTCGGCCTGTGCTTCGAGATTTCTGGTTAGAATGACTCGGGGGTGTTGATTCATTCAAACTAACATAATCATCCTGCTGCAACCAGGTTTCTGTAAGGCACAGTAAATCGATTTGTTGATCAATTATTAAGTCATGTACTAACAGAGACTTGGAGGAGAGAGACCTAATGTTTAATAATCCACATTTCACACGTTTTACTCTTTGGTTCAGATGTGGATTCTGTATTGTTCTTTCTTTGTGATTGTTTATGTTTAAGTTGTTTGTTGCTGGTTTTTAGTTTGTTTTTTGTCTGTTTGGGAGCTGACACAGTCTGTGTGGAGATGGGTTTTTGGGGGGTAGCAGGAGGAGAGAAGCTGCAGAGAGGCGTGTAAGACTGCAACTCTGCTTCCTGGTCCCAACTCTGTATAGTCAAATTTTGGGGGTTTAATAAATTTGTCCATATTTCTAGAAATGAGAGCTGCTCCATCTAAAGTGGGATGGATGCCGTCTCTCCTAACAAGACCAGGTTTCCCCCAGAAGGTTTGCCAATTATCTATGAAGCCCACATCGTTTCTGGAACACCACTCAGACTTCACTTCTGTGAAGGCCTCTCCAGGGAGGTGGGTGTGGCGCCCAGCAAAGGTAAGCTGGTACTCCAGCCGAGAGTGGGGCTAAGAATTCAGGTCTGATTGCTACAGTGTTTGCTTAAAAAAAGTCTTGAGAGCATTGTTAAGGAAGCAAATGTTGTTTTAAAAATACTAAATAACAATAAAGAAGCAGAAGCAAACAGAGGTGCAACCCAAAGCAGAGTAAAGAACAATAACACGTACAAGTCATCTGTCCGTGTCAGTAGTGTTGTACAGTCTGTGAACATAAAGAAAGGTCATAACATCACTACTTCCATACGGCTTAAAACCCTGCCCAACTCAAGGTACCACATCTTGGTAACTTACCTTATATATTTCATTTTTAACTATAACTGAAACTGCAAACACATATTTAAAGTTTGGAACATAAGTTTTTGTACTTCTAATGATGCAAAGTTAAAGATGTTAATGATGCTGATACCCTAAATATTACTGATCCAGTTATTTCTTGGTCTTTCATTCAACCAACCACTTTGATCAAGTTGCATCACTGGTGGGATGCTTTAAGTTTCTGTCAAAGATTTATGCAGTTGACAAACACGTTCATCAAAAACATTTAACATCTGATTAATAATTCTTATTATTTTGACATGATTTGAATGATTTGCAAGCTTTTTCAAAATCCCTTTACCCTTATAGTGTAATTCTTCATATTACATACAGATATGTAATTGTCATGGTGCTGGGTCGTTGACCCAGCGTTTTGTGTTTGGCATTATATTTATTATTATTACTGATTTGATGTTTAATTTCTTCATGGTTATCTTTATTAGTATGTAGGTTTCATTCTCAGGGTTTCCAGTTCGTGGTTTATTTCCTGTGTCATTCTCCTGGTGCTTCGGTGGTGTCCCTGAGTTTGTGTTTGTGAATTTCCTGTTTTACTCCACAGTGTTAGCTTGTCTCTTCCTGTCATCTTGTGAATTGGGATCAGCTGTGCTCCCCTCCTGTGTGTCATTACCTGATTTCCTTGTGTGTGTATATATAGTGGGTGCGGTCTGCTCGTCTGCGTTTCATTGGGGTGTTTGTTCCTTAGGCTGCATCTCTCTGCCCTTCATGCTGTTACGTTATTATTTCAGGTTTGCTCTTTAGGTTTTTTCAGTAACTTCTCATGCCTCATTACCTGTTTTTGTCATTCTGCCACTTTGTAAATAAACGTTCATTCATATCATCAGTCTTTTGCCTGCATTTTAGGTAGTGATGGGTAGATGAAGCTTCATGAAGCACTGAAGCTTTTCATCCAATTGGTTCATCCCAGCGCAAAGCTTCTGGAAGCTTCATTTGCTCTAGTAGGACATCTACTGGACGTAAAAATATTAGTTGGCATGAATTTGAAGAGTGTGGCACACAGCCTGTAAATGTCAACAACAAAAGGAGTGTGTAAAACATGTATATTGTAGTGATGGCAGTATACTGTGTATATTTATACTGGCATTTATCTTACTATTAAATTAGAAAAGTAGTGTTACTGTAGTTAGTAGGGGTGCAACGATATTCGTATCGATATTGAACCGTTCGATACAGTGCTTTCGGTTCGGTACGCATATGTATCGAACAATACAACATTTGTAATTTATTTTATCAACTTTCCTTCTGACGATGCTGTCTGTGTTGAGCGCTCAGTGAATCTGCGTTCGACTACTCCGCCTAGGCTGCACTGTCGAGCGCAGATCCACTGAGCGCTCAACACAGACAGCATAGTCAGGAGGAAGAGCGCAGGGCAAGCTAGCGAGACAGAAGTTAAGCTCTCCTTGCAAGATGGACCTCCCGCACCCTCATTCAGATCTGGCGTTTGGAATTATTTTGGTTTTCATGTGATGTATGACCCTGAAGGTAAGCGAGTCATGGACTAAAGTAAAACAGTATGTTGGATGTGCCATGCAATGCTCAATTACATTGGTGTGAACTAGTGTGTTAGCGCAGTTAGCTCGTTAACGTGTTGGCCGTGTAGCCCCATGCACGGAGTGATCAGGGGTAGCTTGTTAACGGAGATTTGCCATGTTGTGGTGTTAAGGTCATTTCAACGAGATTAACCTGAAAGCACTAGTGGGAACACAACGAATATGACTGCACATTTACGCCGACATCATCCTAGTGCAAAGACAAAAACAACAAGCATGCTACTAACTTTAGCCGAGTCATTTAGACAGCTGTTAGCACATGATTCTCCTTATGCTGCTGAGAATATAGCCCAGAAGAAGCGGATAGTATAGCTTTTATTTTGGAAAGAGACATTTCTCTGTAATAAACTCTCTTTTCCAAAGATGAGTGATTCCTCAATCAGATACAGGGCTTGCAAAATCGCTAGCCCGACGTCCCGGAGCTAGCGATCTTTCCAGTCGGGCTACAAAAATCTCTCTGCCCTGCCCGTCGGGCTATTGTAGGAAAAATATATGTCAATGCTTTTGCATTCTTTCAGAAATGTAGCTGGGTAATTATGTCATTGGCATCGGTGAGCCACTGTCAATATGTGACATAGTATTTAGTATTTATTTATTTATTGTCATTGTCAAGAACAATGAAATTGCGTTTGGGGCTTCCATACAACCCCCAAAAAAGAAGAAAATAATAAATACCCCTTAAAACCCAAGTGTACATATTTAACCCAGTGTGACTCCAATGCAATAAGACAATCCTTAGCAATAATGTTCGTAGAAATTCAGACAAAGACCTGAGAAACATGACAAAATACAACAATGCAACCCATTCAATATTATTGTACTGTGAGATATGATATCAGATATGATAGTTATCTATTTAAGAAAGAGGGGGGGGGGGGGGGAGAGAATAAAGATATGATGCACCAATGCAGACCAGTTCATTGCTATTAAGAAGTTGGATATGGTTATTGTCCGTGAGAGGGGGGCAGAGAGTTCAGGAGCCTCATATTGAAATCGCGTTTGAATTTGCGCTTGTTTTTTTGCTTTCACTTTGCAATGACAGCACTGATCTGTGAGTGATGATAATTTGTGCACCAATTCCTCTGACATCGTCTTATTAATCGTTAGCTTACTATGCAAACATGACAAGTGAAATCTCCCGCAGCTTAAACATATGAGAGGTTGATCGCGCAGAGAATCGCTGAGCTTATGTGAGTGTGTGTGTAAAAGCAGCAGGATATTTTAGTTCTGCTGAGCCAAATAAGACAGGTCGGGGTGAAGAAGTGACAGCCAAAGAAAAGCTTACCACAAAACGGAGAAGTTATGACAAATCAGACTATAAGGCAAAAAGAAAGTGCAGCTTTATGGTTTCATGGACAAAAGAATTTCTGTGGCTGCAATATGACGAGCTAAATAACCAGGGCTGCACATAAGTGGTCCGCAGGTGCGCATTCGCTGTCAAAATAAAAAACACGCACAAGGGTTAGGGTTAAATTTAAAAACTGTACTTTTGAGTTAAAATATATATTTATAATTTTAATAAATGACAAATTAAAAATGCATGAACATTTTTTTGTATCGAAAAAATATCGAACCGTGACACCAAAGTATCGAACCGAACCGAACCGTGAATTTTGTGTATCGTTGCACCCCTTGTAGTTAGAGCTGTTTCTAGTATTAAATTGTCATGGCTTCAGTTTTTTGACTTATTAGAGATTTAACTGAAAACCACATCAGGTAATTCTCTGTGGTAAAAGAAACACCCTCTGTTAGTCTTTAGTATTTATAGTACTCAAAAAAGCAGGATGAATGTACTGTAGAAATGAAAAATTAGTTTACAGATATTAGTATTGCATGGAACTAATTTGCCATGGAAAACCTGAATTTCAATATATATATAGATAGATGGATAGATAGGTTTTAAAGTCATAATAAATATTGTTCATGCACAGAAACAATATTTGAAACATTTTCTTTATTCTGCATTGAGAGCAAACATTGACAGAGGCATAGCTTACACACTTACAGTGTGCTGACGCAAAACTTTGTGTAAGAAAACAATACTTGAAACATTTTCTTTATTCTGCATTGAGAGCAAACATTGACAGAGGCATAGCTTGCACACTTACAGTGTGCTGACGCAAAGCTTTGTGTAAGATTTAACTTTTTCCCCCCTGGAGAATCCTCCTGAACCAGTTAACGTATTTTGAGATATCTGTATAGACATTGGGGACATCCGGATAGTCACACTGTCCCAAGTTTTCACCAATCGCCTTGTTGTAAGAAACAATACCGACAGCCATTCCCTTGTAGACCAGAGGGCCACCAGAATCACCCTGTGAGAAGGAAGTATTTACTTTTTTCATGTGATACTTAATGCCGGTTGCTCATATATTTCTCAACCACAGAGCAGTTAGCAAGAATTTTCAAGGAAAGGACAGAAAACATACCTGACAGAATCCTTTATTTGTGTTGTATCCACCTGCACAGATAACATTGGGAGGAAGCTTGTATCCAGGAACCTTTTGAGCCCAAGCATTCTGGCAGACTTGTGGGCCGATGACAGACACATCCACCACTCTCAGGTTATCAACAACATTACCGTAAGTGTTTATCTTACCCCATCCAGCCACTTGGCACTTCTCATTTTCCTTTAATGTCATTTCACGGAGGGGAAGTCGAATGAATTGAATTGTTTTGTATGTTTGGACAAGTGTAGGCAGCTAGAGGCACAGAATTAAAGAGTAAAGATTAAAAATAAGTGAAAACATGTAACAGCAACACAGAACATCTATCATTTATCTTTTTTTAAGTAAGCACTTTTTCCCTCAATTAGAAATTTGTTTTGTCAATAAGTGCATTGTAAATTCAAACACTCAAAAATATAAAACTTCCAGTGTGAAGTGAGAAAACAAAAAGATAAAAACCTTACTTTTAAAAGCATGATGTCGTATCCAGAGCCAACTTCCTGATAATATGGGTGTTTGTATTTGTCGGCAATCTGTATCACACTCTTATTAGTATCACTCCTCAGATGGTGGTTACCAAGGACTACATACCTAAGATTCCTGAATAAAATATAATAATGAAGATCATCAGTAGATTTTCTGCAGTTACATAAACAACATGATGAAAATATTAATACATTTTTATAGTTAAATTAAATTTTATGTATTCACTGAATTTATTCAAAATTTTTTATGGTTTTAGTTTGTAAGGGAAGAACTTAAATAATTATTATTACATTATACAGTACTAAATATACATGTCATGTGTATATATATATATATATATATATGTATATATATATATATATATAAAAAGCTGGATAGCGTAGTGGTTAGACTACACGCCTTTGGAACAGAGGATCGCAAGTCGATTCCTGCCTGGGGCGTCTGTATCCAGTAAGGGTCCTAAGGCTAGACCCCCTATGCTAAGCAAGCCTACCGCAGACATGAGCGAGACAGATAAATATGAAGGCATGCCGGCTCGGACGTCGCCCGGATGTATATATATGTCATATATATATATGTCATATATCTATATGTAGAGAGAGAATTTATTTAAATAAGAAATAAATAAGAAATAAATAAGAAATTTCCTTGGTGGAATGATTACTTACAGGTCACAGTGTGCAGCAGTCATTACAAGGTTCTCAGACACAAGAAATCCTCCACAAATATGGTAGCCGTTGCTATCCAGCACTGATGCCATATACAGCATTTCGTTGTCTGGGGCTATTTGCCCATTTATAATTTCACTTCCGAGGACTAGTAGCATTAGGAGGAAACAAAATTAATAAAAAATTATTTAAAAAACTATTAATATTCCACACAAGTATTCATGGTGCAACTTACCATTTTGCCCGAGGAATGTCAGCGCATAAATGACCGCAAATGACTGCAGAGCAAACATCTTGGTGGTGAAATGCTCGATCTCTTATGTTGAGGCCGACGGGTCAGTCCTTTTAAGCAGTTTGTACCAACTAACATTTGACTTTTAACCACTTCCTGTGTGTAACATGTTTTTGAAATTTTCCACAGCAAATGCTTCACTATCACCATCTGTTATGTGCACCAATTTCTCATTAACAATATTGAATTTCAAACAAACTAGTGTTAAATCTTCTGCTTACTGAGAAATGCTCCCTTTGTTTTTCTTTGGGTGGACAAGATGCTTTAGCTTGGAACTAGAAAAATTAAAATCAAAGTGAAGGGCTCAAATAGATGCTTGAGGATTTTCACTTTTGTTTTATTTTATTTTGCAGTTATTTGAACTAAACCCAAACAACCACCATCTTCACTCATGGCACTCCCACTGGCATCAGCTGGAGACCTGCCAAGGTAGAAGCTGACTGGAACAACAAAAATTGTTCTCTGATAAAAAGACTGTTGTTGGAGCTCTTTGTCCCTCCTTCACAACCAACTGGGCTCACTGGAGACTTGTTGACCTCTTCTTACAGCTGAACATGGGACACACACACATATGCATGTAATTGACACAGACCCCCCCCCCTCCAAGAAAAAAGCTTCTCCCAGCTGACGTATGTGACAGGTCCGGACCAGCGCTGTAGGATGGCAGCAGGACGGGATGTGTATGTTCATTGTTTTGCTACCTATTCTGACCTGTCTTACCAATGTGATGTTTGTGTAATACAGCGGCTTGCAAAAGTATTTGGCCCCCTTGAACTTTCCCACATTTTGTCACATTACAGCCACAAACATGAATCAATTTTATTGGAATTCAACATGAAAGACCAACAAAGTGGTGCACACGTGAGAAGTGGAACGAAAATCATACATGATTCCAAACATCTTTTTACAAATAAATAACTGCAAAGTGGGGTGTGCGTAATTATTCAGCCCCATGAGTCAGCACTTTGTAGAACCACCTTTTGCTGCAATTACAGCTGCCAGTCTTTTAGGGTCTGTCTCTACCAGCTTTGCACATCTAGAGACTGAAATCCTTGCCCATTCTTCTTTGCAAAACAGCACCACAACTGCTCTGTGACGCCTCAGAGGTTGTCTAAGAGAATACTGGGAGCAACAACACCATGAAGTCCAAAGAACACACCAGACAGGTCAGGGATAAAGTTATTGAGAAATTTAAAGCAGACTTATGGTACAAAAAGGTTTCCCAAGTGTTGAACATCCCACGGAGCACTGTTCAAGCGATCATTCAGAAATGGAAGGAGTATGGCACAACTGTAAACCTACCAAGACAAGGCCGTCCACATAAACTCACAGGCCGAACAAGCAGAGCGCTGATCAGAAATGCAGCCAAGAGGCCCATGGTGACTCTGGACGAGCTGCAGAGATCTACAGCTCAGGTGGGGGAATCTGTCCATAGGACAACTATTAGTCGTGCAGTGCACAAAGTTGGCCTTTATGGAAGAGTGGCAAGAAGAAAGCCATTGTTAACAGAAAACCATAAGAAGTCCCGTTTGCAGTTTGCCACGAGCCATGTGGGGGACACAGCAAACATGTGGAAGAAGGTGCTCTGGTCAGATGAGACCAAAACTGAACTTTTGGCCAAAATGCAAAATGCTATGTGTGGCGGAAAACTAACACTGCACATCACTCTGAACACACCATCCCCACTGTCAAGGTTCAAGGTTCAAGGTTCTTTATTTGTCACATGCATAGTTATACAAGTATAACACACAGTGAAATGTAGCCTGACACGCTCCTCGACATGTGCATAAAAATTGGGGGGGGGGGGGGGGGGGGGGGGGGGGTGTAGAGGAAGAATATTATATATATATATATATATATATATATATATATATATATATATATATATATATATATATATATATATAGTATGTACACTGGGTGAATGTGCAGTAGTAGCAGCAAGCAGGTGAATTCTGTACATTAATATGAATAGACATCTGACTATTTTACAGGATAGACAATATAAACATATTTAAAATTAAAGGAATTGAAATGTACATTGTGCCTTGGTTTAGTGTCTGGAAGAGTCTTGTCTCAGTCAATTATAGATGATGTGAGAGGGCGGGTGTGTGTGTTTAGGGCCCGGATGGCTTGGGGATAGAAGCTCCTCTTGAGTCTCTCTGTCCTTGCCCGGAAGATGCGGAACCTTCTACCAGATTGCAGAAGTTGGAACAGTTTGTTGCCAGGATGGGACGGGTCCTTCAGTATCTGCGCTGCTCTAGTCCGGCATCTCCTGGTGTAGGTGTCCTGAAGCGGGGGGAGAGCAATCCTGCAGCAGCGTTCTGCTGTACGGATCACTCTCTGGAGAGCTTTTTGGTCCTTCACACAGCTGTTCCCAAACCACGATGTCATGTTCTGTGTGAGGATGCTCTCCACAGCGCCTGTATAGAAAATCCTGAGGATCTTTGGAGAGACCCTGAACTTCCTCAGTTGTCGTAGGTGATACAGGCGCTGCCTAGCCTTTTTGGTCTGGACCTGAATGTGGGCAGCCCATGTCAGGTCTGAGGAGATGTGGACACCAAGATACTTGAAGGACTGCACCCTCTACACTGGAGCTCCATTGATGATAATGGGCTTGTAGTCTCTGTGCTGACTCCTTCTGAAGTTCACCACCAGCTCCTTGGTCTTGCCAACGTTCAGCTGGAGGTGGTTGTCCTGGCACCACGATGCCAGATTCTTCACTTCATCCATGTAGGCCGTCTCATCGTTGTTGGAGATGGCACCCAACACCACTGTGTCGTCAGCAAACTTCACAATGGTGTTGGAGCCATGGGTGGCCACACAGTCTGAAGTGTAGAGGGAGTAGAGCAGTGGCGAGAGGACACATCCCTGAGGTGCTCCTGTGTTGATGGTGATGCTGTTGGAGAACAGAGCGTTCTCACTCCCGAGGCGTAACATGTCGACGTTTTGTCACGTCCCGCGGCGTTCCTGAGGAACGCGAAAGGAGGCCTTCGGCGTGCTTATGGTATGGAATCCAGTGCAATGACACTCCCGCGGTAATAGACGTTCCAGCCCTGTATTCCAGCCCTAAACCTAACCTTATCCCTAGCCCTGACCATAACCTTATTCCTGACCTTAACCAGGACTTTAATGATGTTAAATAGCGTGTTTCTAAGCGATTTGAAGAAAAAGAGCGAACATGTGTAGATTCAGTCCAGAGGGTTCTCATATTTCCTCTTTTTCAGAGGTCGTCATTTAGGAACGTGGTGGGTAGCCGAAAACGTAATATGGTGACGATTTGTCACCTAGCGTAAAATGTTACGCTTTGGGAGTGAGAACGGGTTGTGGAGAAGCACCTGCCCACCCTCACCACCTGAGTTCTGCCAGTGAGGAAGTCCAACACCCATGCACACAGACGGCTGTTAAGTCCCAGATCCCTCAGCTTTGTGAACAGTCTGCAGGGCACTATTGTGTTAAACGCTGAACTGTAATCAACAAACAGCATTCTCACATAGTTACCCTGTTTCTTGTCCACGTGGCTGAGAGTGGTGTGTAGGACGTGGGCGATGGCATCCTCTGTGGATCTGTTGGATCTGTAGGCGAACTGCAGCGGATCTGTGGTGTCTGGGATGGAGGAGGAGATGATGTTCTTCAGCAGCCTCTCAAACACCTTCATTACTACCGAGGTCAGTGCAACTGGCCGGTAATCGTTCAGGGATGAGGGTTTGCTGTTCTTGGGCACAGGGATGATGGTGGATCTTTTGAAGCATGTGGAGACCACAGACTTCGCCAGGGACTCGTTGAAGATGTAAGTGAACACACCTGCTAGCTGGTCAGCACAGCAGCGCAGCAGACGGCCGGTGATGCCGTCTGGCCCCGCCGCTTTCCTTGTGTTCACTCTCCTCAGTGCCGCTCGGACGTCATGCTCCGCGATGCTGGTCACCGGTCTCTCGCTGATGACGTCACTGTCCTCGGTAGTCAGGCGGTGACATGGTGGTGGCAGCATCATGCTCTGGGGGGCTTCTCTTCAGCAGGGACAGGGAAGCTGGTCAGAGTTGATGGGGAGATGGATGGAGCCAAATACAGGGCAATCTTGGAAGAAAACCTCTTGGAGTCTGCAAAAGACTTGAGACTGGGGCAGAGGTTCACCTTCTAGCAGGACAACAACCCTAAACATAAAGCCAGGGCAACAATGGGATGGTTTCACACAAAACATATCCATGTGTTAGAATGGCCCAGTCAAACTCCAGATGTAAATCCAATCCAGAATCTGTGGCAAGATCTGAAACTGCTGTTCACAAACGCTGTCCATCTAATCTGACTGGAAAAGTTCAAGGTTCTGGGTCTGGCAGCAGCAAAACAGTTCAGAAGGCCAACCATGACGGCGAAGAAGCCCAGCTAATGGTCTGGAAAGTGGCCAGTGCCGGCGAGGTGCTGGCACAGGATGTGGACGTGCAAACCGAGCAGGACCCGATGGCGGCGTGGCAGACGCAGGAGATGAGGAAGGACCAGCTGCTTTTCAGCTGCTTCTCCACTCCACACTCAGTTCCTCTCTTAAGCCAGAATCACAATGTCTACTAAAATAAATGTATCACATAACCTTGTGGCCATAAAATATAGAAACTGCAATTAACCCAGCCCTCAGAAATGTGGCATCAATAGAAAGCCCAGGATGTCCCTTGACAGTACAGCAGGAGTCATAGAAATTGCATATATAGTGCTTGACATAGAGGGCTCAGACTCATGTCCTTAACAGAGGACACAGATGATTTGCTGGGTATTAGGAGGTTATCATCCTTTTACAGTAGCATGTTGTTTGTGCAGATGCTTGTTGTTTTAGCATCGTAATGCAGTTGTTTCTATCCTGGATGCAGGTTCCACTTTGCCATCCCACTGTTGTCCTTTTGTGCAATAAAATAAAAAGAATGTCCATATCTCCTCCGTCTTCTCCTGAAACTTATCCACCACCCATCTCCAGTATGTAAACTGAAATTAGCTGATTGTAGCACAGGAAGAAAAAAGGGTGTCCCCGTGATAATTTTTCTTTTGGTTTT